TGTGGAAAACCTCTCCCAAAAAAAAAAAAAAGAATTATTTTATTTTAGGGGCCGGTGAGTGGTGCAGTGGTTAAGGTGCTAGACTCCCACATGGCCAACTGCAGTTCAAATCTTGACCTGGTGGCTTGCTTTCTCACTTTCCCTTTTTCTCTCTCTGTCTCTCTGGTCAAGTTAAAATAATAATAATAATAACAATAACAAATAAAATAAGATAATCTTCTAAAAAAGATTTAATTTTATTTATGTTTTTCCTTCTTTTTACTACAAGGCATACATGCTCGCCAGAGAGAGACAAAGAGAGAGGAAGCAGGAAAGCCAGCCACCAGGTCCCAGGCTCAGACCACAGCTGGCCACGTGGGAGCGCAGCACCTTAACCAGCACGCCACCTGCCGGCCCCCCTGGGCCACGTTTTAACGAGATGTAATAATGTCGTCTGCATCAGAGGTGTTGATGAAGCGCAAGATGGGGAGACGAGAGAACAGCATCTTCTGTGGGGGACTTTTTAAAAACATACGTCTAGAGAGGACAGATACGTTTTTCAGCTTGTGAACCATTCATGTATATATTTACATACAAAGCTCTGATGTTGAAATAGTTAAAATATTATTCATAAAATAATGCTTTAAAAGCCATCCAACTTCAAGTTGGTTTTCTTTTAAGCCCAATACTTGTTTTTTTCTATAAGGGATAGTTATTCATATGCTTTAGAAATTTTTATAAAGGTAAATTTCAGCCTTTTATTGTAATTATATATGAACTTTTAGGGGTTTTTTTTCTTTTTTTTAAATAATTATTTATTTAGCTTTATTTACTTATTTGAGAGGTTTGCTATAGGGCACGTGCGCTCGCCAGAGAGACAGAGAGACAGAAAGCGAGAAATCACCCCCAGGGGGGACGGCCACACAGCAATCCCTTCTCCTCCATTCTTTTTTAAGGATTTTGGGCACACACGCACACGCGCCCAGCGTGAGTTTAAGCCACTGGGTCTGGGACTCGAACCATGGTTGACTACACGGGAGTCCAGCAACACAGCCATTATGCCAACTGCTGGTCCCTATTTATTTATTTATTTATTTATAATTTGACCAGGGAGAAACAGAGAGCGAGATGGAGATGGAGAGAGGGAGAAAGCAAGCTGCCAGGTCCAGGGCTCAAACTGCGGTCGGCCATGTGCGAGTCCAGCGCCTTCACCACCACACCACCTGCCAGCCAACCCTTTAGTTATTTCTGAGCCACTATTAACATGTATAAAGTTAAACGTGTTCTCAGCATTGTTACACACTGCACTACTTTACTTAACGGTAGAGGAGTTCCATTAGCCGTGGCCACCAGGAGCTGATGAGCATCCCAGTCCCAGCCGGCATTCCCCAGCGGGCACCGTCAGAGCTCGCAGTGACTGGCATAAGGCACAGCGGGCAGGGGCTGCCGTCCAGGTTGCAGACATCGGGTTTGTTCACTTAAGAGAACAGCATTTTCGGGGCCAGCAGGTGGCGTAGTGGTTAAGGTGCTGGATTTCCACATAGCTAACCACAGTTTGAGTCCTGGATCAGGTGGCGACTTGAAAATCATGCCCAAGATCCCGAGAGGAGAATGGAGAAGGGACTGCGGCATGGCCATCCCCCCTGGGGGGGGTGATTTCTCGCTTTCTGTCTCTCTGTCTCTCTCTGTCTGTCTGGCGAGTGCACATGCCCTATAGCAAAAACCTCTCCAAAAAAAGAAAAAAAAAGAAAAGCAAATTCTCATGAAATGTCAGAATGTTCTACATTTTTAAAAATTTTAATTTGGTTTAATTTTTTAAATTTGCCATAGGGCTAGGACCAGCAGTTGGTGTAATGGCTATGTTGCTGAACTCCCATGTAGTTGACTGTGGTTCGATCCCTGGACCTTGCGGCTTAAACTCATGCCGGGCATGTGTGCATACGTGCCCAAGACCCCAAGAAGAGAATGAAGGATAAGGGATTGCGGCGTGGCCATCCCCCCTGGGGGGTGATTTCTCACTTTCTGTCTCTCTGTCTCGCTCTGTCTCTCTGGCAAGTGCATACGCCCTATAGCCAAAAATAAATAAATAAATAAATTTGCCATAGGGCACATATACTTACTAAAGAGAGACCGAAGGGGAGAGAAAAATGAGAAAGCACCCCCCGGCAGGAGGACGACATGCCAAGTCCCCTGTGCACCCCCTCCCTGGGATTTTGGGCATGCACACACACGCCCCCAGCATGTTTTTCCAGCCACTGGGTCCAAGACTCAAGTCACATAGCTGACCATGTGGGATCCAGTCACGTTAACCACCACACAATCTGGCTGGCCCTATAATGGTCTCTATTTGATTATGGAAGAAATAATAGTTTGAATGTTTTCAAGGTCAGTAGCAGAACCAGGAAAGGACCTGAGAACGACACATTCTCCGTTTCAATTTAAACAATTTTTAAATTTAATTTTATTTATCATTATTGCTTTTAATTTGCTATAGGGCATGTACGCTCATGGGAGAGAGAGAAGTGAAAAGCAAGCCACCAGGTCCAAAGCTCGAACCACGGCGGGTCACGTGGGAGTGCAGCTCCTTAACCACCACGCCACCTGCTGGCCCTTATCCGCCTTTTTCACACACCCGGCCCACCATCCGCACTGAGAAAGAATAAAGTCCAGAGTGCAGACTCACCTTCTTCCTGTCGTCCTTCCTGTCAAACGCGCACTGCTGCTTGCACTGCTCGCAGGAGTATGGCGGCCCGTACTTCTTCTCTGAGTTGGCGCAGCGCTGGCACTTCCCGCCAATAAAGGCCGCGATCACACTGCAGTACTGGCAGGGCTTGGGCTAGACGGGGCAGGGGCCTGTGAGCAGGCCGCTAAATGCCTGTGCACTCACTATTACTCGCTCTTGTCAGAGGGATCCTCTTGGGATTTGGGGCTTGTACACACACATGACCTGTGCATTTTTTAGAGATTTTTGCTATTGGCCGCATGTGCTTGCAGGAGAGTCAGAGAAGCAGAGACAGGGACAGAAAGAGAGAAATCAACCCTGGGGGGACAGCCACACCGCAATCCCTTCTTCTCTGCCGTCTCTCAGGATTTGGGCACACACGCACCCCTGGCATGAGTTTCAAGCTGCTGGGTCTGGGCCCAAACTACAGCCAGTCATGTGGGAGTCCAGCAACGTAGCCATTATGCCATCTGCTGGTCCCAACCCGTGCATTTCTTAAAACATTAATTCTTACTACGTACTCCATAAGTCATGGCATAAATGTACTCCCGACATCATAAATAAGCCCCCGCCTTTCTTTTTTTTCTTTTTTTTTTTTTTTAGAGGTTTTCGCTATAGGGCACGTGTGCTCACCAGACAGAGAGAGAGAGAGAGACAGAAAGACAGAAAGCGAGAAATCACCCCTGGGGGGATGGTCACGCCGCAATCCCTTCTCCTCCATTCTCCTCTCTGGATCTTGGGCATGCACGCACACGCGCCTGGCGTGAGTTCCAAGCCACCAGGTCTGGGATGCGAACCACGGTCGACTACGTGGGAGTCCAGCAACATAGCCATTACGCTAACAGCTGGTTCCCGGCCCCCGCCTTTCTAAGAGAGATTTTTGGTATAGAGCGTGTGTGCTCACAAGAGAGACAGAAAGTGAGAAATCGCCCCCAGAGAGGATGGCCACCCGCAATCCCTGCTGCTCCATCCTCCCCTCAGGGTCTTGGGCACGCACGCACATGCACACGCGCCCAGCAGCTGCTGAATCTGGGACCCGAACTGCAGTGAACTACCTGGAAATCCAGTGATGTAACCATCATGCCATTTGCTGGTCCCAGTAAGCCCAATTTCTTTTTTTTTTTGGAGAGGTTTTCGCTATAGGGCGCGTGCGCTCGCCAAACAGAGAGAGACATAGAGACAGAAAGCGAGAAATCACCCCCCAGGGGGGATGGCCATGCCACAATCCCTTCTCCTCCATTCTCCTCTCAGGATCTTGGGCACGCAAGCACACGTACCTGGCGCGAGTTTTAAGCCACCGGGTCCGAGACATGAACCGCGGTCGACTACATGGGAGTCCAGCGAGATAGCCATTACGCTAACTGCTGGTTCCAAGCCCAATTTTTAACACTAGGTACAGTTTCTTTCTGCTTAGGACTATCAATTTGAAAATAATTGAACAAACAACAAAAACCCGCTCGTGTGTGTGCTGAGACTTTGCAGAGACATTCAACAGGACCAGCCTCTCGGAGAAAACAGTCAGTGCGTCCAAAGCTCAGGGGCCTCTGCCCTTCCCTGGGTGAGCATGTCGGAGGGACGCCTGCATAGAGGCCTGACCCTTTACACGGGGGAGGAGCCCTCAGCAAAGGGAGCAAGCAGCTGGGGCCAGAGGGGTCACGTCGTCAGGACCTTCCTCTCTCCTTCCTGTGCAGGAGCCAGATCCTGACCGGGCTCCTTGGTAACGCCTGTCGCTGCACTGCCCCTGGACACAGCTAGCTCTAAGGCCACCATCACATTAGCGGGCCGTGGAGCACGCGACGCCGAGAGCCCCGAGCGCGCGCCGTCAGCTCGCGGCCACTCACCGTCCCGTACAGCTGCACGTTTTGCGCGCACTTCTTGCATATCGTGCTGGTCTTACTGCGGAGGAAGAAGACACGAGGCTTTCTTAGACCATCTGGAAACCGGAGCCCACGGAATGTGCTCGTTGCTAAGGGCCAAGGTCAAATAGGGTCTGGACACTGGTTAACTGAAGTTTGAGCAGCTGGCCAATAACTCTTAGTATGTGGTGATTCGTTTTACTACTGCACATGAACGAGGCTTTGGTTAAGATGGGAAGTGAGTTACTTCTTTCTCTCTCATTAAAAAAGAATTATTTACTTATCTATTTCCATTTTTTATTATTTTATTTTTGAGAGGTTTTCGCTATAGGGCGCGTGTGCTCGCCAGGCAGACAGAGAGACATAGAGACAGAAAGCGAGAAATCACCCCCAGGGGGGATGGTCACGCCGTAATCCCTTCTCCTCCATTCTCCTCTCGGGATCTTGGGCACGCACGCACACGCGCCCGGCGTGAGTTTTAAGCCACCAGGTCCAGGACGTGAACCGTGGTCGACTACGTGGGAGTCCAGCGACATGGCCATTACGCTAACTGCTGGCTCCTGATTATTATTATTATCTTTTTTTAATTTGACCAGAGACAGAGAGAGAAAAAGAAAGAGAAAGCGGGAAAGCTAGCCACCAGGTCTGGGACTTGAACCGTGGTTGGCCATGTGGGAATCCAGGACCTTTAACCACCATGCCACCTGCCAGCCCAATGGAAAGTGAGTTACTCTGATTCTGACCTGTCTAAGTGTCAGTAAGTGAACAGACATGGAAGAGACCTGCAAAACATTATATTAGACTGAAATGGGTCGGAAGAGAAACCAGTTCTCCCTGGCTCAGGTAAGGCGCGGTCTGTCTGTTCGGGGCATGACCCGGTAAGGCGCGGTCTGTGTGTTCGGGGCATGACCTGGTAAGGCGCAGTCTGTGTTCGGGGTATGACCGGGTAAGGTGCGGTCTGTGTTTAGGGCATGACCCGGTAAGGTGCCATCTGTGTTCAGGGGCGCGGTCTGTGTTTGGGGTATGACCCGGTAAGGTGCTGTCTGTGTTCAGGGGCGCAGTCTGTGTTCGGGGTATGACCCGGTAAGGCGCGGTCTGTGTTCAGGGGCGCAGTCTGTGTTCGGGGTATGACCCGGTAAGGTGCTGTCCGTGTTCAGGGGTGCAGTCTGTGTTCGGGGCATGACCCGGTAAGGCGCCGTCTGTGTTCAGGGGCGCGGTCTGTGTTCGGGGTATGACCCGGTAAGGTGCCGTCTGTGTTCGGGGCATGACCTGCATCTGTCCACACTGACCTGCTTCTGTCCTTGTGCTCCTCCTCGAGTGAAGCACTTAAATCCCAGAGGTGGGGAAACAGGCACGGGGGCAAAGATCTTTTGTTTCTGCCCTAGGGCCCATGTGCTCCCTGGGCTGGGGAGGGGAGAGACTGAGAAAGCATTCCCCGGGATGGTGGCCACACTGCAATCCCTTGTCCACTCTCCTCTCGGGGTTTGGGGCACATGTGGGGACCAGCATGTTTTTCAAGCCTCCAGGTCCAACACTTGAACATGAGGCTGGCCATGAAGGATCCAGCACCTTGACCTCCACAGCACCTGGCTGGCCCGCCACCTAGACCCACTGGAGTACTCTGTTGACACACAGCTGTCCCTGACATCTTAGCAAACATCATCTCTGTGCTGGGCTTGAATTAATCTGTGTGTGGCATAACTAAGGGTCAAGGTTCACATCGTAACCCTACACACAAATTACTCTGAGGGACCACGACCTAAGTGTAAAGCTAAAACGTGAAGCCTCCAGAGTGTTCTAGCGTGTTCTGCCCAAAGTTCTGCAACAGGCAGAGCCAGTCCACGAGGGAAATGCCAGCACAGTGGCTGCGTGGGGAGGCAGGCGGGTGGGCCTGCCTGGGATGGGGACAAGTGGACTCTCAGGTGACGGTAATGCTCTGCACAGCAACATGATTTGGGGACTCACTGATGACCTCTTAAGATGTGGGCGATCCTGGGGCCAAGTAGTGATGTCCTGGTAACACCGACCGGCCCACAGAGAGAAGGTTCTGGGTTTGCACCGGGGCCCTCCTTGAGCACGCCAGGCATGTACACGCAGCCCGTGATCTGAGCCAGCTGAACATTAGAATGCACCAGGAGGCCCGGCTCCAGAGCTGGGAGTTACGCACAAGCTGCAGTTCAGGTCGCTGGCCAGTCGGCCGGAAAACATGCAGCAGTCCAAGGTCCTGAAGGGCCAGATGCCTGAAGTGAGGGGGTCATGGCAAGACCAGGCCCTGTAGAGGATGCTTCTCTCTCTCGCATGTGCTTTACTGTGAAGTTAAAAACCTATCAGAACAGCAACAACAGATGGGTTGGTGGGCAGAGACGGAGAGACAGAAATACCGCGAGTGTGCCCGTGGGGGCTCCGTGGTCGACCCAGGCCCGCGAGTGCACCCATAGGGGCTCCATGGTTGACCAGGGCCCCGCGAGTGCGCCCGTGGGGGGCTCTGTGGTCGACCCAGGCCCCGCGAGTGCGTCCGTGTGAGCTATGTGTTTGACCCGGGCCCCGCGAATGCGTCTGTGTGAGCATGAGCTTAGCCCAGGCCCTGTTCCCATGCCCCGCAGAACTCAGCAGTGCATACGTGGATGCTCATTGACTATTTCAACCTTTTTTTGTTTGCTTCAAAATATTCATAATAAAATGGTGGGAGAAGAAATACTGCTAGAATTGAAATGAGGCTGATTAAAACTGGTCTTCTAGGTCTACAAGGGGGTCTTAAGAAAGTTCATAGAAAATCCATATTATGAAAAAACAATGCATGGATTTAAAAGTGTTTTGTACCAAAATACACTTATACCTTTTTCTAGGAATATTTTGAAGTTCCCTGGTGTCTAAGAGCTAGCAAAGGGACCCCACCTGCTGAGGGCTGGATCACTGACAGTTAAAAAAGGGCCACAAAAGTCAAACTTGCAATGTGCCGATAATTCACCCTGCTGCTGTCAAGTCCCAAAGGTGAGCATTCACTCACACCTACGTGTTTTCTCAGCTTAAAAAATGAGACCCACACGAAGCAAGTGTAGAGGGGAGTGAGTTTCAGATGTGACTGGGGCTACAAGGCCTCTGTTGGACCGCCGTCTCCCCACCTATCTTCTCTGGCCTGACAGACGTGCACCTGCTGGGACAGGACCTCATTTTACTGTTGTGAGACTGGTCTATCAGAGTTGAAAGGTCTTAATGACACATAGAATGTTCTAGGGCTAAAATAAGTAACTGAAAAGTTTCGGCAATCAACAGACAGTGACCAGGGAATGATACATGAATCACACCCCCTCTGCCGTGTTAGAATAGGAGACTGCAGACCCGGAGTGCCATGGATGGCACAGGTAGGACGTGGAATGAAGCACATCAGGTCCCAAGAGGAAAGGGCACATGGCCGGCTGTCAGGGACAAGGACAACCCTACCTCTCCTGCTGGTACTCGGTCCTGCAGTAGGTGCACTTCACAACGGGGTGTGCAATCAGGCATCTTTCATTCCTGAAACGAAATGAGCATGCGATTTTCAAAGGCGCTCAGAGTGGAGAAGCCCTGGGCAGGGAAGGCCTGGGAACTGCTCCAGCATAAGCATGGTGCCTCAGTGAGCCACCTCACCTTTAGAGACCTTCTGTTCCTCCCTGTGAAAGTGCCACTGCCACCCTGCTGTAGGGGTGTGTGTCACTTAAGAATGCCTTTGGAACTGGAAGAAGTGTAAAGCACTCCTGTGTGAATCAGCCCCAGCCTGGGCACCAAAACCTAGGATCCTACTCCTGGTTCTTCTGTCACTGATTTTGAACAGGTTTGCTTGAGAGACAGAAAGTGCTGATTATTGTTCTTAATGTGCATAAAACTTAAAACCGCATGTATCTGTAAAATTTTCTCTTTTTTGAAAGCAAAAAGGACACTTAAGCATCTGTGTGCTCTCAGACCCAGGTGGCAAAGGAAAGCCACGGGAAGTTGAGTGCCATGGAATTACAGACTATCGATCCGAGGTAATCTGGGACGTCTCGACCTCGTTCTTCCGCGGGCCTGGGCAGCCTCACCGCTCCTCCAATCACTTACACACAAAAGTGGACGAGCAGCTGGAAAAGAGAAGTCGGACCTTCAGGGGTAAAACTAATCAGCGGCTGGGGGCTGAGGACCGAAGGCCACCAATCGAACGCGCAAGTCCAGCTGCAGGTCCTCGCGCGGCGCTGGCACGTCCTTGCTTACAGCCGGGCCACCTGGGCTCCAGGCGGGCTGGTGTCCGTGCGGCTCCTCCGGCAGCGCCCGCTCGCCCAGCACCGGGAAGGGCATGGGGGCCCGGGCCCCCGGTCCGGCGCAGGCCCCGCGGG